AACGAAATCGAAACTCGCAAGTAAGCGAAGACGCAAGTGCGACTCAAGGCCGGCAAGTACGAAGACTGTTGGCAAATTCGTGTACTACCTATCGTTCCCGTGGTCGCTGAAGGATCGCAGCGCTAGTCCACTCTAGCTAATTTTAAGAAGCTCTATGATCTGTATTAATTATGCTATATATATGTAATGAACTCAAAAGGGGAAGAAAAAACAACTTGTATCCGTGAGGGACCGGACCTGCAACCTTCGAATAACGCGTCCGATGCTGTAGTCATTGAGCAACGGAGGCGGTTGTCCTCCCATCTACTTAATGAAATATATGTGCGCATTTTTTACTTGGTAAAATGAAGCGCAAGAAGCTGGACAAAAGATGTGATACAGATGGGCCAATTCAATACTAACAGCTGTTGTTGGGGTTTGAAGCAGGGGCTGATCCAGTGACCCAATTTAGGGGGGGGGGGTTGGTTGCCTGAATGACCAATTAAATAGAGGGCGTGGCCATTGCTTTTTTATTAGCACGAATACTCTGTAATGACATAAATACCGTGAATGTGTGCCCACAGTGGCCCCACTCATTTTTCCTAACTGATGATAGCAGGTGGATGGCAAGCACTGAAGAGAGGAAGAGGGGGTACTAACAAGCTTTGCGGGGGGAGGGCGATTGCCCCTACAGCCCCCCCCTCTGGATCCACCACTGCTTTGAAGGGACAATAAAGTCAAATAACAAGTTACGTCAGAGTGAAAGCCCAATGTATGACAACGTCTAAAACGACAATATTTTTCACACCAGTGCCCTAGTTACCGAGAAATTAAGGTAAGAACACTTGCGCTACGCGTAGAACATTCGAAAAATGATACCGATGACGTAAGAGGCACCACCTTCAATTAATCACTACTAATCAAACTAGCTCTACTAAATAAAGAACCTTTCGTGAATCACGAGACGTAATGGAATGCCGCTTGACCATTTTGTTTGATTCATGGAAGAAAGAACCGCCGGACGTCATTGCCGGAAATGGCGCGAGTGGTCGCCGGACGTTTCGTTCACTGCTTACCCACGACGGTGGTCTAGTGGCTAAGGTACTCGGCTGCTGACCCTACTGCAGGTCACGGGATCGAATCCAGGCTGTGGCAGCTGCAGTTTTGATCTAGGCGAAAATGGCGTAGGCCCATGTGCTCAGATTTCTGTGCTCAGATTTCGGTGCATGTGAAAGGGCCCCAGGTGGTCGAAGTTTTTGGTGTCTTCCACTACGGCGTCTCTCATAATAATATCGTTGTTCAGGATATTGTTATTATTTACTAAATTTCCTTTCATAATCACCAGCCTTGTTCACAGTCTGTTTCTTGAAGATATTTTTTTTTTCTCGGAAACGCGGGCGCACTTGTTATCCCGTTCACTGTGGCAATGACCGAGAATTCCCCATTCGGCTGATTATCCATCTGCTCTCGACACCACTGTCTGTAACTGCCTTGCTCGCTCAACTCGCCCCACTGACATGCCCTTGTCTGAGGTGGTTCTAAGAGAGGGAAAAGAAGAGAAAAGTGAGCCCCGTAACTGTCTGCATCACGGTGCGACACCTCAACAGTAGCTCACAGGGGATGGGGGTGAGGAGGGATTAAAAGAATATGAATAAAAGTGTAGAGAAAGAGAGATGCGCTAAGCCAGCGAGCGAGGACATATCGAGGGAATAGGAGAGATAAGAAAGATGGAAACATGGCCACAGGAGTCCGAGGACGGGGCACCACTTGCGAGAGCTCTTGTCGGCGCCAGGAGATGGCGTAGAGCAAGTCCAGTAGGTCAGAGCTACGCTGTCGTCGGAGATCGGCGTCAGGAGATGACGTAGGGTGAGCCCACTCGGCCAGAGCTACGCTGACGTCAGAGATTGCGAAGGCACAACCGGTCGGCACGGAATCCAGCGAGATAGTCCGACATGCCCTTGTGTATGGACGCCTATATTGCTTTCCACCAGGGTTCGAGATACTCCGATACGAGTCACCCGTTCGCCACTAACGGGAAGCTTCACGAAGTGTGAGAATCCTTCTCGCAAGCGGTACAAAAGCACATTCTCGAGAACCCTCCTCAGCTTGTCGCATTAGCCCATTTCGGAATGAGCAGTGGCTTGGCAGGCGTGAATTTAGTGTGTCCATATCAACCCTCCCCCTCCTCCACTCTCCCATTCGGTGACTTTTGCTCCTCCCTTTCCCTAATAAAATAATCTATCTATCTATCTATCTATCTATCTATCTATCTATCTATCTATCTATCTATCTATCTATCTATCTATCTATCTATCTATCTATCTATCTATCTATCTATCTATCTATCTATCTATCTATCTATCTATCTATCTATCTATCTATCTATCTATCTATCTATCTATCTATCTATCTTCTCGCATGCTCGGAGGACGTCTGGCGTGGCGTCGTGGCCGCGTGTTCTGAAATGATGCCGGGCGTTCTGTGTGCCGAGTTATCGCGTCCGCTCGGTTTGAGCGGCACAGACTGCGTCTTTGACGTAGATATCAAGTGCGGTGGCGCTCTCCGCGGTCATTGACGGCGGTCTGTCATGATTGACTGTCGCGGCGCATGGTCAAAGCTGACTTGCGCGCGCTTTGCGCACGTGCTTTTGACACACCATAACATTCGTTGTTGCCAAGAAAAAAAAAAAGCGGCCAAGACGACAAGATACCAGCTTACAACTCCTGGGCCAAGCACTCAAAGTGAGTACGTATGTTTTATTGAGCCATGCGGCTCCACAACATTTACACGGTGGAAAAAATTTGACACAGTAACGCTTATTGTGATGTATAAAGTTCCAATCGGTGTTGTGGCAAAGCAGGTTAATCGCATACTGACAGCAATTTTCGAAGCTGAGATTACTACACCATAGGAACCTGATGTATAAAGAGACATCTGTGAATTAGTGTGAAGCAAGGAATGCCGCTTTGATATTTTATATTTACGTGAGCTGATTGTTTGATATGTGGGGTTTAACGTCCCAAAACCACCATATGATTATGAGAGACGCCGTAGTGGAGGGCTCCGGAAATTCCGACCACCTGGGTTCTTTAACGTGCAGCCAAATCTGTGCACACGGGCCTACAACATTTCCGCCTTCATCAGGAAATGGAGCCGCTGCAGCCGGGATTTGAACCCGCGACCTGCGGGTCAGCAGCCGAGTACTTAGCCACTAGACCACCGCGGCGGGGCTTTTACGTGAGCTGTCCAATGGGTTCGCGATGTGGCGATGAGGATCGCTCTTTCTGACCCGACGTGGCAGCGGCCCACTACGTGCTAGTTTACTCCCCAAACCAAAATACGAATGCTCTTTCCCCTTCAACGAATTCCACTTCATTGAAGTAAACTTTCTCACGGCACCTGCACTTACTGAACATCGGTGCTAGCGTAACTTTAGGCCGCAGTATGCATTCTATGACTTCACGCACAAGTATGGCAAGTTGTGATGACGTCAAATACTGAAAAAAACGTACAAAATCGCCGCCTGTACGTCACCAAAGGAGCTACGGAGCGGATTGGCTATGGAAACATAATATTATGGGTGATCACGTGATGTGAAGCTGATACTGTATCGTGAAGTCAGGGCACAGTAAAAATCGGAACTAGCTTTCAGAAACTTATTCATTTTTCAGAGTAGGCATACACTTACAAGTACATTTTCTTGTCTCTGGGGTCTTGGTCTTTCACTTGTAAAAAAAAAAAGAATTATAAGAAACAACTGAAAATTTTCGAGGTAGTATCCTTTCACTGCGCTCTGATCACTTACGTTTGTAGCTGTCCCGAACCGTTTTTTAATCGGTTTCTAGTGTGTAAACCTCCGACGTTGAATGAATATGCGCTAGATGGGAAACGGCACCTGACAAATCTTTACCAGCAAGTTTCCGCCAAGCTTCTTTGCAGTGAAATCAGCAAAAAAAAAGGCGAATGAAAATCGTGGACCAGCACTGCACCTATCTATCACATAGACTTCAACCGCTGCATCAATAAAACCAATGGCGGGCTAAAGCACCTCGTAGACCAGTTCAGGTGGTGAAGGCGAACTAAACAAATCCTAAAGAGAACAACAATTGGTCAAAACGTGTGATTAGATCTTGGTGGTAACGAAGAGACCATGTAATACACTGCCAGATTCAAGCAACTTTTTTTGTGAAATTTGACTCTGATAATAATTTTTATAGTCATGTTTAAAAGTTATAAGAATTCCGTGTGTAACGCAGCAAAGTGAAGGAGTGCCTTGAAACTGAATTATAGAGCCGTTTTCTTTACTGTCGCATTCTCAGCTGTTTTGCAGTACCCTAATTAGAGCTCAATAATTGATTACACACAACATTTATATTCGTCCCCTGCTCTAATATGTGATGCTTACGAAAGAAAAGGAGTAGACGCTGAGAAGCGTGGATGCTATACACCGCATCTATATATGACAAGGCGAACCACGGCGCATGCGCACAGGGGGCACGCGTGCAAAGCAAACCAGCAAACCACAGTGCACTAATACGAACAGCTGTTGCGCTTCCCTCACACTGTTTGCGACATGTGTGCGTGCGGCTCGATGGTCGATTCCGATCGAAACATTCCGATAGTAAATCTTTCGCGGCGTTTTCCATTCCGTATTTATGCACTATCAGCGCCAAACATTTCGTTGCGTTGACTAAAACGTATCGTGAACATTTGTTGTTGGCCTTAATGTATAATTCGAGGTGCCGATTTATCTGGAGTTACTATATATGCCACCTAGGGAGCATATACAGTAACTCTATAGGTACATCTGCTTTACGCGCCGTCAGTGGCAGGTGCGCCCGCTTGCCTAGTAACAGGAAAGAACGGTCACTTGTTTCTCAATTACTTTCTCCCGGGAATTCCAAGGTGAAGCAACGAGTCGACGATGGGTGTTTTTTTTTTTCTTTCTTTCCTCGCAGTTTAGTCGAACTGCGTGCGAACATTATAAGACAGCAACAAACAGTGAAATGCAGGACTATACTTTCTCGATGTGTACTTTGCTTAATTTTTACCTCGCTTCATCGAGCTGCGTGCAAAGACACTGATGCACTGGCTGCTGTTTCAGTCGAAACTTCACTCCGCACGGTCGTCGCACGAGCTTTTGATGCAAGGTAAGCTGTTGCTACGCAGACGCACGTCTGGAAGAATCGTTTTAAGTTGTTATAGACGAACTGTGATGATGGTGTTCGTGCCAACCTGTTCATGTCAAATGAGAACTAACAGACAATGATACCAAGAGGAGTGTAGCTGATGTTATTAAAGTAATTGCGATGCCATTGCGAAGAAAGAAAAAAAAGGTGGATGAAAAGACAACTTGCCACGGCAGGATCCGAACCTGCGACCTTCGAACAACGTTCGACACTGTACCGCTGAGCTGCACGGGCGGTCATCCCTACGTTCACTTTACAGGGCATGTGTGAGTATTTAAACGTGGGAGCGCCAGCCAGCGCCGCCTGTTGACATTGTGACGAGTGTGGAACACTCTTTACCGCCTGATGACGTCACATGCTACGTGACGTCAGAAGGTGAACAAGTGTGTTTCTCACTCGTCTTTTAAAGACTATCGTCGTTAAAAAATAAAGAAAATTGAACCGCGGAGCACTCAGTACGGTCCCAATGTTTATCGCAGGTGTAATCCCGACAGTTAATCCATTAACGCCTTTCCCAGTTATTTGTTACGTCTCCCCAGAAGTATTATCTGGGGGTTGCCTTCCCTGTGTTCTTCGTACGTTCAATGTACGTCAACGCCAAAAAAAGAACATCACAAAAATGAAGTGGCAGCATAAAGAGGTCAGATTAAGCTTTGATCAGCTACATGTTTTCCAAACAGGTGTCTATTGTGCATTCAAAAAGATCCGTGACAACTCTCCCGATTAGAGAGGTCAGCCGCCGGAGCACAGAATCATTATTTTTCATTCAGGACAGGAAGTGCGATTGAATGGAGACGAGAAGCTGCTGTGCTGAGTAGTGAAGTGCTCAACAGCCGCTTTACCGGCTTCGCTCGCAGGCTATAGGAACAAGACAGGATGAAGGCCACCGTAGCGTTCGGAGGCAAAGCGTACCACAAGCTGGGGGTTCTCGTGGCGATCCTGGCTTCGATACTCTGGCTGCGTCCACCATCAGCGGGCAACGTGGATCCGGACGCCGAAAGGAGTGTCGTAAGTACGCGCGATTCGCATCGTTACCCAACCATGGTGGTGCTTCAGTTACGGTGCAACTGTCCCGAATGCCACGGAGTTTGAATCATGGCGCTCGAATTTCCGACGGAGGCAAGAATGCTGGAGGCCCGTATACTTAAAATTACGTGCACGTAAAAGAAGCTCAGGTGGTCAAAGTTTACGGAACTCACTAGTACGGCGTCTGTCGTGATCGCACAGTAGCTTTGGGAACGTAAAACCCGAACTGTTATACGTGTTATTATTTGCCACTTTGTACCACTCGGTTTTGAATGCGTTCCTTTTTTTTCCTTGAATGAGTTGTCTGCAATACTACTCCACGCACAGTGTGCACTGTGCAATCACGGGTTAGCGCACACGTTCGTCACCAGGGACGGCTTTGTGCGCTCCCATAGTTTAGTACGTAGTACTCAAAATCGTTAACCATTTTTTCTAAACTCTACTCTGAATCGTTACACCCACTTTTTCTAAACACTGTTGGGACTCCGGGTCCTGCCGGTCTCGTTGTCGGTAGCTGGCCCCGTCGCAGGATCCATCATCCAACAATTCAGCGAGAAGAAGCGCCCGAACGAACAACAGAGATTTATTTACATGTGGAGAAGTGGTCAACTGACCCAAAGAGAGAAGAGTGCGTGCGATACAAAACGTCTTCGGCATTTTATAGCGCCACGTTGTTGACACTGGGCGCCTTGTCCGCATCGTCAGCCAATACGGTGTCGCCAGCACCTCGGCCACGAGGGAGGGGAAAACACATCTCACAACACAAGGAGTGGCACAACCCAACACCATATATGGTCCCGGCGCCCCAAAATGTTACCAAATATGGTCACGAACGCACAGCAGACCCCGTAGCTCTCCCGGCGAGGAGGAACCCGAATGGGGAGGTGGGGGTGGCCGCCACCGCCGGTCAAGAACCGGTCCTCCCCCAAACACTTCCTGCTTGGCTCCCCAGGGCCGATCGTAACAGTCTCTCGCGCGGGGGGGTGAAGATCTCGATGGGCTGAGGTTTGCAGCCACTGTCCGGAGAGATCAGCGCCGGCAGTCGGTTTGGTGACGACCGTCTTTGATGAAGTAGAGGGCAACACCTGCTTCATTGTGGGCTCCACAGACGTCACATACGCACATGAAAACACAACTACTCAGCCGGTGAGCGCCGGACAATTCCGCCAAACTCCACCAGGCAATTTTCCCCTTTAACTGATATTAAAGGAAATACACAATTTATTCAAAATGTTACTCACACTTTAAGGTGACACAAAACAACAACACTGGAAGCACACCGAACCCGAAACCCTGGATAGCCGTGTCTTCAACGTTTTAAAACAAGTACACCTAAAAGAGTAAAAAAAAAACAATCACTAGCTCTTGTTTAGGTCAGGAAAAAAAATGCCAGAGTTCTCGAGACATCCTCTCGCGTCAGGGGCATCGACTTAAGCCATCAGCGTTGCCATGGAGTACACCCTTTTTGTAGCGTATTTCAAACGTATATTGTTGCAAAACGAGGCTCCAACGCAGCAGGCGGCCGTTCTTAGAGGATATGGTCTGTAGCCAGGTGAGAGGACAGTGGTCCACTTCCACAATGAACTTGCTTCCGGCAATATAACAAGCCAGTTTCTGGACTGCCCAAACCAAGCACGCACATTCCTTTTCGCTAGCGCTGTAAACCTGCTCGCGAAGGGTGAGTTTCCGGCTAACATATAGGACGGGATGCTCTTGATCCCCCTCATCCCTTTGACTAAGAACTGCCCCCATGCCTCTATCACTAGCGTCGCATTGTACTATGAAAGGCCTCGAGTAGTCCGGTGAACTAAGCAAAGGTTGGCTCGACAAGGCCGCTTTCAAAACGCGGAAAGCCTTTTCTTTCTCCTCATCCCAGTCGACCATTTGGGGCTCGGTCTTGCGCAACGCGTCAGTAAGAGTGCTGGCAATGTCGGAATATCTAGGGATGTACTTACGATAGTAACCAGCTATTCCAAGAAAAGCCCGAATATCGGTTTTCGTTCGGGGCTGGGGAAAGTCTCGGATAGCTGCCACTTTCATTTCAGAGGGACGGCGATGCCCTCGACCGATAACATGCCCGAGATAGAGTACCTCTGCTTGTGCTAGCTGACACTTGGGCGCCGTTACCGTTAAACCTGCTTCGCGTAGGCGTGTCAGTACTGCTCTCAAATGCGTCAAGTGTTCTGGCCAGGACGAGGAAAACACGGCGACGTCGTCCAAGTAAGGCAATGCGAAGTCCTCTTGACCACGCAAAACCTTATCCATTAAGTTGGAAAAACAGTAAGGCGCGTTCTTTAGGCCGAAACTCAACACTTTAGGGCGGAATGTCCCCAATGGTGAAATAAATGCAGCATACCGGCTCGCCCTCTCGGTGAGCGGCACCTGCCAGTAACCTCTCACTAGGTCTAGCGTTGAGATAAATTGCGCGCTGCTTACCCTCTCGACGCGTTCCTCAATGTGGGGAATTGGGTATGTCTGATCCTTGGTGATGAGGTTTAACTTACGATAGTCTACGCAAGGACGCGGATCTTTGCCGGGTACCTCCACGAAAATTAACGGGGAAGTGTAATCACTTTCACACGGCTCAATCACACCCAATTCCAGCATCCTGTTAACCTCTGCTTTTATTAGCTCAAGCCGGCGAGGTGACACCCGATACGTCTTAGATCTTACCGGTTCCGACGAGGTAAGCTCTATGTCATGAGTGAGGACGGATGTCCGGCCTGGCTCGCTTACAAATCTATCCTGAAACTCGGTCAAAAGACCACGCAATTCCTGCTTCTGCTTCGTTGTTAGTTGTGACTTTGATACTAAATCCTCAACTCTTTTCTCGATCGGGACTTCGTCCGATTCGGGTGCTAATTCAGGGATTTCTGCCAGAACCTCTTCCGGAACATTTAAAGTCATGTTCACGATGGCTTCCCTCTCTTTGTAGGGTTTGAGTAAGTTGCTATGATACACCTGGTGTGCCTTACGACTTCTTGGTAATTTTACCACATAGTTGGTGTCAGACAATTTTTCAGTAATTTCGGTCGGGCCGACCCATTGCACTTCAAGCTTATTCTTTTGGGAGGGCCTCAACAACATGACCCTGTCTCCTACAGCAAAGTGTCGTGCTTTAGCTGTCCGATCGTAGTAAAGCTTAGCCTTCTGCTGTGCTTTGGTCATCGCACTCTCGGTCAGTTCTTGGGCTGTTGTTAGACGATCCAATAAGGTGAGGACATATTCCACTACTACAGGATCATCACCCTGACCTTCCCACGACTCTCTCAGCATACGAAGAGGAGACCGCAGTCTGCGGCCGTAAACAAGTTCCGCTGGCGTAAACCCTGTTGTCTCATGTGGTGCAGTTCTTAGTGCAAACATCGTTGCAGGTAAACACATTTCCCAGTCAGTTTTCCGTTCAAAATATAAGGCTCTTAACACTCGCTTCATCACGGAGTGAAGCTTTTCGATCGAGTTCGACTGCGGATGGTAGACTGAACTATGCAATAATTTCACGCCACACCGCTCTAGAAAGGTGGTCGTTAAGGCACTCGTGAAAATGGTGCCCTGGTCTGATTGTATCTCGGCAGGAAGGCCTACCCGGGCAAACACGGACAGAAGTGCGTTCACTACTTCGACGGAACTTAGCTCTTTTAGCGGGACCGCCTCTGGAAATTTAGTAGCTGGGCAGATTAAGGTCAGGATGTGACGGTAGCCTGAAGTTGTCTTGGGCAAAGGACCTACTGTGTCAATTACCAACCGACGAAAGGGTTCCGTGATTACGGGTACCAGCTTCATTGGAAATTTCGCCTTATCTCCCGGCTTACCCACTCGCTGACACACATCGCAAGATTTTACAAACCTCTCTACATCTTTAAAGCATCCAGGCCAGTAGTATTCCTGTAAGAGAGGATTTTTCGTCTTCTTTACGCCTAAGTGGCCTGACCATGATTCTCCATGCACCAAACTAAGCAAATCCTGACGATACGCCTGAGGTACGGCTACCTGGTCAAATTCTACTCCTCGCCTATCTAGATATTTTCGATAGAGTATGCCGCTCCTCTCTTGGAATCTCACATTTCGTTTGGCGATTCCCTCTTTCGAACTGTCCTGGAATTGCTTAAGCGTTGGGTCACCCTTTTGTTCGGTTATTAATGAAGCGGGGCTCACCTGCAGCAGCCGACTGAAATTATCCGAAGTTGGCATGACACACAACTCTTTTGTAGTTCCTAGTACCTGGAATGTGTCACCCTCTGTGCTATCCTCTGTACTACCAGGAATCGGCTTGGGAGCAATGGCATTCTCTATTTGCTCGGTCAACGAGACGTAATTGACCCCTTCCAATTCGGGAGGAGGTTCAACGTCGCCTTTAGGAATGGTTGCCTCCACGACTACGGCTTCTGCAGCCTGTTCTCGCACAAGTCGATTTGTTTCCGTGGTGTCCAACTCGCAACCAGGCCCGTTGTCGATTTGAGGCTTGTTTGCCTCAGTGAATGTTGCTCTCGCAGCCAGCGCACGTGCCTTTGATCTAGTCAGTGCCTGCACTATGCCTTCTCCCAACGTTAGACCTTTCTCCTTCAGCATTTGATCTGACTTATTTGAAAATAAGTAAGGATACTGAGGGGGTAGATATGGCGATACCGCGGCTTCTGTTTCCAATGTTCCAAATGCGCCTTTAAGGACAACTTTAGCTACGGGAAGGCACTGACTGTTTTGCCTCTACGGCTTGTCTAATCCAGGCACAGTCTCCTGAATACTGTCCGACTGAACAAAAGACGGATGAACTACGTCAATAGTGGCTGCGGAGTCTCTAAGAACCCGACACTGCTTGCCGTTCACGGTAAGGTCGTACATATAGGGCTCTAACAACTTCATGTTCTCGTCGGCTTCATTTATAGATAAAAAGGCCACCTTTTCTTTCGGGCAGTCTTTCGCGAAGTGCCCTGTTTCGTGGCAATTGAAACAAGCAGCCGGTTTTCTCGCCTCAAATTTCCTTT